AAAGGCATGGTTTGTTCATTCAAGACATAGCTGCTCCCAGTACCTCACTCTGCATCTGTACTAAGTCATTTAAATTTCCATCCAACTGGGAATACCAACTCTATCAGCAACTCAGAACTCTGGGCCCTTGAATTAAGGCCAAATGATGTTGCCAGGGATCTTCATTCTTCCATCCCAGCTTTAAGGAGACAACACTAAAGCAGAAATCAGCAAAATTAAACAGTGCCAATGGTGTTTACCAGCTAGCACGGCTGTGACTCTCGGCTGTACTCCATCCTTGGTGTGCGGCAGAGACCATTCAAGTCCAACATGAACTGAGCTGCCCAAGAAAAGTTTGCTGTTTAGGATCGGATAGAGCAAAGTCACAAGTGACCCTCAGCTGTTTCCAAAACTGTAGGTCTCAAAACTATCTCTCCTAGATTACTGTTATGCTGTTTTACTTTATTCAAAAATGTCAGAGAAAAAGGACTGTGGAGGAAGCGAGATAATCCTGTGGACCCCTTCTCTGATCAGGCTCTCTGTTAGGCACTAAGCACAGCCCGCCCCAGAGAAGGTTCACACGGATCACGTTCATTAGCCCCACTCTGCACTTCACAGGCTTGCACACAGACACACAGGCTGGATGCAGTGCATATGATCATTTGTGCCTCAACCCCAAGACCCCAAAGCTCTCGCTCTCAGTATCGTACCCCTCCTGACACAACAGCCCCAATGGTCCTTGCAAAAACATGCTGACTTCTCCAGTGCCTCAGATGGCCACACTGCTCTTCTATCCCTAACAGCTGATGCTCAGTCACCCTCTCAAATACAAGGTCTCTCCAAAAGGGCCAGCATACTTCTCATAGGGTTCTTAATTTGCTTTAGGGAGAATCAGGCTTCAGACAGGAAAAATAAATGATTCCTTGGCCAGGGAGAAAAAGTTTCCTTCTAAAAGGAAAAGATAACTAAAGTAGGAAGGAAGGGTACATCCAGGCTTCCCCAAGGCCACTGGGTTTTGCCACCTGCACAGGTTGCTACTGTGATAATTTCATATCGCAAAGTCATAATACCAATCCATCTCAGTTCGATTGCTTTGCCACAAAACGCAAGCAGCCTGATTTGTCACATTTTTCAAAAACCCAGGCCTCTACCAGGTTTATATCACTATTAAACTACCAACAGGAAATCATTAAGGTGATGCAAGAAGCCAACTGGTTACTGTGAAGAAATGACTCCCCTCCCCGCAAAGTTCTCGCCTGCTACCTCTTTTCTTGGTCTGTCAGCACAGCCAGTGTAGGGCTGGGTCTCAGATCTCGGTGTTGGCGTGCTGCTGGCAGCGGAGAGTGCTCAACATGCACATTTGCAATCCAATGGCTGTGCGCAGGTAACCTGGTTCTCTCTCCGCAGGGCGAGCTGCGTGACGATAAACGGAGGAGATGCGTATGCATTTGTGCGATAAAACAGGCTTAATGATTCTGAAGGGGAAGGAGTCCACAAGACACCCAGTAGCAACTTAGGAACAAAATGGAACCATGCAGAGCCAATTAATGTGCAAATACGTGTGTGCTGAACTTGCATTCCATTCATCATGCGGACACGGAGATTGGGCCATTTATCTGTTATATTATGTATGTGACATCTTAGTTTGGTTCTTACAGGCTGGCTGGGGACAAAGGGCCATGTGCTCCGCGGCTAGCAGAGGGAATTTAAGATAAATTCTTCAGCTGTCATAAATATTTCTGGGCAGAATTTGGTTGGCAGATAAAGCACCCCTTTTCCCCCTACTGCCTGAAGGATTTTAACATTTCTCAGTAGCCCATGTGCCATCTTATTAGAACTGTGTGCATGGCAAGGGAGGGGCGGCATATGCCACCAAAAAAAAAAAAATCATGGGCATCAACAACCTGCTGTCATGTTTCCCACGTCCAGATTTAGCAAGCATTATTCACATACTTGCTGTCAATCTTTAGAGAAAGGGAACTGGCAAAGTCATCCACTCGTACCCATCCTGTGGGTTTGTCTGGCTTTTTGTTTCCTATAACATGTCCTCCACAGGTGGGGGCTGTTCTGGCTCAAGGATACGTGTGTGCTTAGCAAACAGGGGCCTTTCAGAAGGAAAAGGATTTCACAGAAGCACATTCTTGAGCTACTATTACCTGCCTCATGGAGTAAACCATGAACGCTCACCCAACAAAAAGTAATGGGGCTGGGGCGAAATGCTGATAGCTGAAATAAATGGCTTTCAGAATTTTAATTAATTAAAGCTTCCTGTCCTTCAATAGTGCAAAAAAAATTTTTGAACTGTGTACCAGCAGTGACCTGTTTAGATGCAGTGGTTGGGAGGAAGAAGTGTGTGCTTTGAAAGGTGTTCTGTAAAGGAAACAGGAGTCCCGAGGTCATGAATGAATGAATGAGTGACAGACTTCAGGCTACTTTGACCTAAGATTCGAACTGCAGACTAAGCACTCCTATACAGCCCCATTCCCTACGGTCCACTTCTCCCAATCCTGATCACCTCCTCTCTTTGTCCTACTTTGTATTTTCGTGCCTTCTTCCTTCCTTCTGTTTCATCTTTCTCTTCTTCATTGCCTTCCTTCCTTTCTTCCTCTTTCAGCCTTGTTCAGCATTTCTGTCCAGCAGAATCATGCTACCAAGAGCGCTCTATCATACTTCAAACTCAATGAACTTCACATAGGGCAGTTACCTGTGCAACCTTATCCAGAAGCAAGTTCCAAAAGCCCATCACCCAATCCACCATCGCCAGAGGTGCCATCTGCTTTCCTATGTATGTAAATTCAACCACACATCGTCTACATACTTGCCCTGACATGCCATCACTCAACATCTGTCTCTATGACTCATGCACATATACTGCTGTCCTCTACCCACTGTATGAATATAGGTTTTTTTAGAATTTATTTCTTTATAATGGATACTTCGATAATTTCTGATTTGCAGTTGGTAAAACTTCACCAATGCCTCTTGGTAAGATGCATGTTCTCACCGTTCTTGAGCAGTAGGTTTAAGTAGAATTGTTGGATCACAAAATGTATAAAATAATTTAGGTCTCCAAACCACCATCTTAAAAAAATCTCTCCTTCTTCAATTATTTGAAAAGCAGAGCAACACTGACAGATCACTTTTACTTCACTGGTTCCTCCCCCAATGGCCACAATGGCCAGGCCCATGCCAAACCAAAACCAGAACACAGAGCTTCATCCTTGTCTCCCACGTGGGCTTCCCAAGTCTGACAGCAGGAAGCTGGCTAGGGAAGTGGGGCAGCCAGGACTCAAAGCAGCATTCCCAACGTGGGATGCTGGCAGCACCACCATGCCAGTCAGAAACTTCCATCCTGTACTCTGTAAAATGGCAAAAAGGAATATCCTTCCTTTTGCCATTACTATGAAAACTGAAGACATAATGTAAGTGAAGGTGTTTTAATATTGAGCCAGAGATGGCTCCAGCAGAGGTCACAGGAAATCAGCAGCTGTCCATGGTGCTGACTCAGCGCACGCATACACGTCTAACCTTGGAAAGCCAATTACAACCCCAACAACTGGCAAACCTGCCACATACTTAGCACCACAGCGCACCAGGCCATGGTCAAGTGGGTCACAGTGTGGTCATGAACAGCAAACATTTTGTATCCAGCCCAAGACGGCTGTGAAGTGCTGTTCTTATTCACTAGTTACATAACCTAACCGTAGGCAACTTCCTGAGACTTTGAACCTCCATTTGTTTGTCTGTAAAATGAGAAACATGGCAATTTCTGTGACGCACAAATCTTTTTGAGTATTCCTAAAGAGATGCATAAGGCATTTATATAATACCAGTATAGGATACATGACACATGCAGAACAAAGAAGAAACCAGTATCCTCTTGTTGAAAAACTACCATGTAACTAATTCAGTCAACAGGCCACATGACATGTGCTGTCATTCCCATCCTGACACTCAGGACACTAGGGTCACATAGGCCAACAACTACTCAAGTAATCTGGCCCAGGATCACTGGGAAGTAGGGGATGCTGGCAGCTCCTTGTCTCCACTTACTCCAGGGTCTCTGGCATCTTCACTGACCTTCCACCTTCACCTCCACGGAACTTCTTTCCAAAGTATGCCTCACTCGTTTACTAGCACAGCTGATTGTACTTTGAATATATCATAGTGTCTGGAAGACACATGCACACCCAGTTATCACACCCAAGGACACATATCTTCAAACTTGAACAGTCACTCTCTGATAGTGACCTATTCCTATGTTATGTAGAACCCTGCAATAATCCACCTCTACCTCCCAGTATTCCCTTCTCTGCTCCCACCAACGTGCATGTAACAAATCAAGCTAAGATGCAATTATCCCCCTCTGAATAAGAAGACTGAGTCTTGGCAGTTGTTAAAACAGTGCTTAAAGAAACCCCAAGCTCCAGAGACCTCTGCTGCTGTCCTTGGCTCTGCGCACATGGTGACTTATGAGTAACGGAGGGCCCTGCTGCAGACACTGGACGCATCTGGGGCACCCAGCATGTTGCATCATGGACAATGTCTGGCTCTGAGGAGCTGGGGAATGTGTTTCCAGTGAGCTGTGACCAGCATGCCTCTTCTTTACCTCAGAGTATGCTATCAGCATCAGCAGAGTAACTCCTTCTAAGCCCTGGCGGCCAAGGTGGAGAAACACACTCCGAGTCAGCAGAGGCCTTCAATGCCCCAAGGCCTCAAGACCTCACTGAGGTGGGACTGGTTTAAGATGTGCACAGAGGACAGACGCAGAACCCACCAAAGCGGAGGAAAGAAGGAGATCCGCCTCTGAAACAGAAGGCAGGCTTCCCTGGGTTACTCAGGGCATACTCCACAAAGGACAGCATGGAAGACCTGGTCAGCCCCAAGGCTAGTGCCACAGAAACCACCAAATGACAACCACCGTCCCAATCACTAGGAGAACATACATAAAGGGGTCTCAACGGGACCACCGTTCTCACTCCATCCCTGAAAATAAAACCATCTTAAAAACACCTCCCAAGGGAACAGAAAACACCCACTCCTACCTCAGCTGTACCAGCAGCCAGACTCGCCAAAACCTGCAAGTTAAAGGAAAAAAGACATTAGTATTGATTGAACAAGAAGGTAATTGGATTAATTGTCTTTTTTAAAGGCACTTGCGTCAATGCTTTGTTATGACCCGAGGGAGCAAGGATTCCACTCACAAACACACAAACACATACACAGGTGCTTTTTCTTCCACTGAGCACAGCAAAAAGATTTATTTCACCAGCCCTGTTTATAAGGTGAAGAGGATAATTAATATTTTCGACACATTATAACAACCTTGCCAGGAAAAAAGGGGGAGGGCTGTGTGCAAGGCCCCTGTACTGATAATGATTAAATGAACACAGAAAAAGCAAAGGCACTGGAGATATTTGTTAGTTGTTTTTTTCCTTGAAGTCTCAAGTCACCATTATGAGAAATTACAACCATAGCAACAATAGCAGATGTATCATTGCAAAATGCCCCCAAAAACTATCAAAGAAATGCCAGGCATTCTGCCAAGTGCTTTATGGATTTGTTCTCATTTCTTCTGCAGCACAATTTGTTTTAACCCCATTTCTATGATGAGAACACGGGGGCTTAGCAAAGCCAGGTGACATCTCCCAGGTCAGAAAGGGATGAAGTAGAGGAGGAAATCAGATGCGAAACCCAGCAACGCCACATGGAACTTCAGGATTGTGGGTAGCAGCCCCACTCTATCTCAAAGTTTCTCTTAGACGCTCCCACCCTACACTGCACATACATGCTTGCTACTAGGCCCATGGTCTGAGGCCAGCCCTCACCTCAGCTATGATCTCCAGACTCAGGCACATCCTGCTGTCCATTAAGCAGTGCTAATTGCTCATGAGCATTCATGATGAAAGGCCAACCTCAGACAGACCTGGGTCAAGAAACGCTAAAGGCTGGCCAAGCCATGGATGCTGTCCTGCAGAAACACTGGAAAGTGTCAAGCATGTCAGAGCTTTCCCTTTCCTTCCACTTGTTCACACATGCAGTACATGACACATAAGTGATAATATGGCACATGACACATATGTGCATGGCACATGAAATGTGTGATACACAAATATGTAACATTAAACACACGGCATATACAATGACATGTATGGTCATGTGGTATATGGTATGTGTAATGTGACACATGACATGTATGATTTCACTGCTCCAAATCTCAGCAGGGCTGTTTTACACAGTGCCTGAACAACACAGTCCTCGGCTGATTTAATTCCCTCACAGCAGAACCTTAGAGTTTAATCACTCTGAATTTTATGCATCACAATCATTTTCTTTTCTCAGACAATCCCAGCTCTTGCATCAACCTTACGTGAACATGCACACATTTACAGGGGCGCATACATAACTATGTGCTGTAGAATTCTTTACACCAGCAACACACCTGTAACACATTTTAATTGTTGAGACAGTGCTCATGCACTCAGATTCCTCCAGGAGGAGAGAGCAGGGAGTACTGAGACCCATGCGAAAATCAGAAGTGGCCTCCTCCAACCAAAGACACTAGCATGAAGTTTTATTTTTAAGCCACAAAGTACAAGATGGACAGACAACAATTCCATCCGCTGCTTCACTCCTTGAACACCTATAATAGCTGGGACTGGACTGAGGAGAAGCTGGCAACTCATTCTACATCTACCACCTGAATGACAGAAACTTCATTACTCCCAGGAACTATGGTAACAAAGTGCTGAAGTCAGGTACTAGATCAGAAAGGAGGCCCTTGGGAGCAGACTTGGGCATCTTCCATCCATTGGTTCATTCCCAGATGGCTACAAGAGCTGGGGATGGGCCAGAAGCTTCCTTCTAGCCTCCCATGTGGATGGTAGGATCCCAAATACTTAGATCAATGTCCACTGCTATTCAAAGGCCATTGACAAGCAGCTAGACTGGAAAAGGAGTAGCTGGGACAAGAATAGTGTCTACACAGAATGCAAGCATCAGCCCCCAGTGTGTGTGTGTGTGTGTGTGTGTGTGTGTGTGTGTGTGTGTGTGTGTGTTTTAAACAGGCAGAATATGTTTCTAGTCAAACCAAACACACAGATCATCTAAAGCAGTTGTTGGAATTCCAGATGATGATCCCTTTAGCCAGTTCAGTTATAATCCGCCCACATTATAAAATAGCCCAGCTTTCCCACATTGAGAAGCACGTATCAATCATGAACAAGAGGGAGTGTGGTGCAACCCAGGTGCTACCAGTCTACAAAAATAACTGAGACACACCTTAACTGCACACCCCACACCTGAACAGAGACATCCACCTCAGGTACACCTTGGAGGATGCACAAGATACTGAAGAGAAAACAATCCAGCTGAAAGCTAATGGGTTCACACAAATCCTGGGGAACTCTTTCTCCTAAATTTACCCATCTGTAAAATCAGACAAATCCAAAATATAAAAGCCATATGTTGCCTTAATATGGCTCAGATTGTATAAAAATCACCATTGTTTCCTTATCAAAGACCAAGAAGAATATGTTCACACTTGGTGGCACTCAGTAGGCAACAGGATGACAGCCATGCATTAGGGAGTGGTAGAGCTTGTGACCAAGTAAAATAAACTCTTGCTCATCAGACATGTAATTCTTTATGCTGGCAAAACACGAAAATCAAGTGGTGACATTTATATTTCCACAGAGCTGGCATCCTCTGCCTACTGCTTTTAGTGGGGGCCTTCACAGCCACCATATTATTAGATTCATGGACTCACTTCCAAGCACGTGACTCAGGAGCACTCTCTTCCGATTTCACGGCATATCTGCCATGGCTGGGGTACGTTCTGGGCAAAACCTAGAGGGTGCTGCAGGTGCCAGCTAAATGCATGAGGGCTATGGGAGGGCAGCCTGTGCTCGGCTCCAGTGTCTGGCTTTTCTCCTGTAGCAGCAGCTGTCTCAAGCATCCTGCAGTGGGAGGCCAAGATCAGAGCTCCATTTGAGGTGGGCCAGCATGGGGTACTCGAGAAACAGACACATCCAACATGATCCTCTTTAGAGCTCTGTGCTATGATCTGCTGCTCCTTCCATCACCGTTTTCTCTTCTCCCACTCCACTCAGTGTGTGCCTGGAGCCACAGAGGCCAAAGTGAAGGGCTTCCTACCTACTTGTGTGGGACCTTCCTTTCCAACTCTCACAGCAACCCTGAGGGCCCCATCTCAATCCCATTTCAGACAGGAAAAGTGAGGTCTGGCTGTGAAGCTGCTTTTCTAAGGCAACATCATGGAGCTCCTGTAAGCACAATTTGAGAGTGTCAAAAACCAACACTGCCTCCAACACCCAGGCAGGCACTGCTCCATCCAGTGGAGGCAAAAATCTCCCCTCTGGGCATTGCACAAGGCAGTAGGGTCAGGGCTAAGTTCACCAAATGAGGACACGGTGACTATCCCACCTGCCTCTGCACCTCTGTCTGAGGCCTCTGTGCACTGCCTGTGGTGCTTGGGATCTTTGGCCCAGAATCCCTCCTGAAGTGTCCCAGTAGATGCAGCCCTTCTTGTTGCCTGGACAAAAGGGCTTAAACACAGAAAAGAATTTATTAGCTCATTCAACAGAGAAAGAGTTCACTCCAAACGGATCCAGATAAGGATCAAAGAGGCTTAATTACTTCTCTGGCTTGTGAGTGTTGGGGCTGTGAACAGAGCCCTACTCTCCAGGAAGTTGGATGCTGCGTCTGTGCTGCCCTGTGACACTCCCATCTGGAAATCCAGAGTGCCATGACCACTTGCTGTGCCCCGGCACCATCTCACCAGCTGATGGGTCCTCTGCCTACCCTCTGCCATCCACATCAGGCTCCCTGACACTACACTGATGCTGCTCCGAGCTCCTCACCAGGCAGGATGAGGCACCACCTCCTCCAGCACCAGGCTGCTGAACCTTCCATTTCTCTCCCCCTTGGCAAACAGCAGCAGGCACTGCACGGGGAGCCCTTCATCAAGGAAGCCAGTATGGCCCAGGAAGCTGTCACCCATGGAATACATATGGGCAGCTTCTTCCATGAACAGTCACTTATGTGCAAACATCCAATCTCCATGCCCTGGGGTCCCCACCAGACAGCTGGGCAGTCAGTAGTTCGAATGGAGCCAGCCCATCTGTCTGACCCCGGCACAAGAAAGCAACTGTGCAGATATGGGGTTCTCCTAGTTCTACCAGTGACTCCTTCAACCTCACTCCATTCTCAGTGCTATCAGGACATCTCAGCGAAACCCAGACTGCTTTCCCACTCTTCGACCCCAAGGAATCCCAGATGAATGCAGTGTAGCTCAGGTTTATGGCTCACTCTCACACACAGCCTAGCCCACAGCCTCTAGCCCCACACTACCAAGCCATGTTTTTGGGAGGAGTCACAGGGTAGAACACATTGTTTTTTCTCTCAAGTCTTCTTCCTCCTCTAACAGTTCTGCCTCTGCCTTTGAGAGGAACTCAGAACAAAAACAAAGAGGAAAATTTTCCAAGTGAGCATGTGTCCAGTGAGAATACCTACTCCTGATGTTGACCAGTGAACAGCCTAGGTACCCCTGCATCCAAATGCTGGGTGCTATGTGGGTCACAGTGAGTCCTGTGGGTCCAGGTCTCCTGTATTCATCAGAGACTCCCAAGCTGCAGGAACCAATAATACCGGGTGTCTGGCAGCTCAGTATAAATACCATCCCCTGCAGTGCACCTAGGAGTCCCAGGTAGGACACAGGCTCAAACGACCTCTGCTGTCTTGGCCACAAGGAGCCTCAAAAAGCTCATGGAGACAATCTTATATGGCCTATTTTTCATGGACCTTGCCCCTGTGGGTGAAGTATACAAGCTTTGGTGTCCAAAATGTCCTTGTTCTATCAACTCTCAGGTCACCATGCGCACACAGTGTGTGCCCCCAGAGAATACATGTCTCATTTCTTGGAGCCTGTTTCCTCATTTGAAAATGGACACAAAGGCCTGTTAATCTGGACTCAGTGGCAATGGCCAGCCTGGGGCTAGAGGCAGGTGGAAGACAGCACTGCTTTCACTTGGTCTGGTGCAGTAAATGAACAGCAGTGCTA